GGGCACCCCCCCCCGCCCGTGGGTCCCACCACCCACGGCCGGGGGGCCCACCACCTCTGTCCGGGGGGGCCCACCACCTCTGTCCGGGGGGGCCCACCTCCTGTGTCCATGGGGACCAACGACCCGTGCCCATGGGACCCATTTCCTTTATCTGTGGGGCCCATGGCACATGTCCACAGGGAGTGGTGACCCACACCCATGGGTGGCTCCAACCCATGGCCATGGGAACCGTGACCCATGGTCACGTGGAGCCTTGACCCACTTCTATGGGGCCCACAAACCTTCTCCATAGGGAGCAAGGACCCACTGCCGTGAGGAACCATGAGCCACGTTCACGGGGAGCAATGACCCGTGGCCATGGGTGCCTCCAACCCACGGTCATGGGAAACCGTGACTCAGAGCCGTGGGGAACCACGACCCACGGCCATGGGGAACCGTGACCCACGGGGAACCACGACCCACAGCCGTGGGGGCCCACAACCACCGGGAGCAATGAGCCGTGTCCTTGCAACCCATGGCCACGGAGAGCAATGCCCCACATCCAAGGGTGCCTCCAACCCATAACCGTGCCCCACAACCACAGCCCGGGGGGGGGGGGGGGGCGGGCCACGACCCCTATCTCCAGGGGGCACGACCCACGGCCCCAGCCCGAGGGAGGCATCCAAGGGCAGTGTGGGGTGCTGGGAGGTCAATCGCCTCGAGCCAAGGAGGGGGGAGGCGGAGGAGTTGGTGGAGCCCATAATTACGGGCCTCATTAACGATGACTGTGTTGATTGCCGCCGTGGCACTTGGCATAATGATGTCACCGTTGCAAAAGCGCGATGACAGGGCGAATTGTGCAGCTCCGACCGCTGGGTGGAGGGGACCGAGGCGGCGGGGGGGGCAGGGGGCAACCACACTGGTGTAGACCCCAAAATGGTGGCGAGCTACCGCCATGCCCCCACCCCAAAACGCGTGGAGGTACCACGATGCCCCAAGAAACGTCTCCTGGAGTGGGGCAGGTGAAGCCACGAAGGGCAAAACCCCCGTCACGGGACTAACACCTCTGCCCCACAGCGGCCACGGCGATGGAGGTGCAAGCCATGGTGGCCTCCAGGCTATGGGACACCGTGAAGCTGCTGGCAGCCCTGGTCTTGGTGGCATCCACAGGTGAGTGCAGGGGTGGAGGGTGCGACCAGCGGTGCAGCCACGCGCGTGGTGGCACTAACACGTGTCTCCCCGGTCCCTCAACCCTTGCAGCCTCCGCGGTGGCGGGTGAAACGCGCGTGGTGGGCGGCATGGACTGCGAGCCCCACTCGCAGCCGTGGCAGGTGGCCATCCTCGACATGTACAAGCTCTACTGCGGCGGCGTCCTCGTGGCCAGGCAGTGGGTGGTGACGGCGGCCCACTGCACCACGCCAGGGTAAGGGTGACGTCTTGCGTGCCACGTTTGTGCCATGTCCCCTGCCCCACGCGGCTTGCACCCCCACGTGTGCCACCCCGCCCTGCCGTGGTGTGCCCCGGTCCCACGTGTCATGGTCTCCATGGCCCACGCGTGTCCTGTGTCGTGGTGCCACGCGTGTCGTGGCCATGCTGTGGTCTACACGTGTCGTGGCTAAGCCGGGCCCTACAGGTGTCACGCATGTACCACGATCCCCATGTCCCACACGTGGGCCATGCCAAGTCCCTCACGTGTCCTGGCCATGCTACGGACCCCATGTCCCACACATGTCCTACAAGTGCCGTGGCCGTATCACAGCCTCCGTATCTCCTACGTGGACCATGGTCTCCATGTCCCACACGTGTCCTGGACACTCTGTGTCCCACCACGTGCCATGGCTGCACCATGGTCTCCATGTCCCGTTCATGGGCCGGGCCGGGCCCCTTGCATGTCCTGGCCACATCCCACCGTCTTGCTGCAGTCCCCACGTCCCACACGTGCCCTGGCCATGCCACATCCCACAGGAGCCACGGCCACGTCCCGGTCTCTATGTCCCATATATGGACCAGGATGTCCACGTCCCATGCATCCCAGCCACGCCATGCCCCCGCAAATGCCGTGGCCACACTGTGGCCCATGGTCTTGTGGTCCTAGCCACCTCGCTGCGTGTCCCACGCGTCCCTCCTGCCTGCCGTAGGACCACCAGCATCCGCCTGGGCAAGCACAACCTCTACACGCGGGAGTGGGGCGAGGCGCGGAAGATGGTGCAGAAGTTGGTGGCGCACCCCAACTACAACCCCACCACCAAGGACAACGACATCATGATGATAAAGCTCCTGACGCCCGTCACCCTCACCAGCAGGATCCAGCCCGTCCCCGTGGCCTCCTGCCTCCCAGAGCCCGGCACTACCTGTGTCACCTCAGGATGGGGGGCCACCAGCTCCCCAGAAGGTACCCAGTGCCCGTGGCCTCTTCCGGATGCCTGGATCCTCTCCTGGAGGCCTGGATCCCCTCCTGGAGGTCTGGGTCCCCTCCTGGAGGCCTGGATCCCCTCCTGGAGGTCTGGGTCCCCTCCTGGAGGTCTGGGTCCTCTCCTGGAGGTGTGGGTTTCCCTCCCTGCACATCTGGGTCATCTCGTTGGCACCTTGGTCTTCCCATGAGTGGCTGGGTCTTCTCCTGGACCCCTGGGTCCCCTCCCCAGGTACCTGGGTCTTCTCCTGAACACCCAAGTCCCCTCCTGAACACCCAAGTCCCCTCCTGGACCCCTGGGTCTTCTCCTGAACACCCAAGTCCTCTCCTGGCCACTGGTGTCCCCTCCTGGACACCTGGGTCTTCTCCTGAACACCCAAGTCCCCCCCTGGGCACCTATGTCCCCTCCTGGACATCTGGGTCCTCTCCACGGCACCTACGTCCTCTCCTGGACCCCTGGGTCTTCTCCTGAACACCCAAGTCCCCTCCTGGCCACTGGTGTCCCCTCCTGGACCCCTGGCTCTTCTCCTGAACACCCAAGTCCCCTCTTGGCCACCAGTGTCCTCTCAGGAGTGCCTGAATCCTCTCTCAGATGCCTGGGTGGTCTCCTGGACATCTGGGTCCTCTCCTGGACATCTGGATGATCTCCTGGACATCTGGGTGGTCTCCTGGCCATCTGGGTGGTCTCCTGGACACCCCGCTCCTCTCCTGCTCACCTGGGTCCTCTCCTAAGAAACGGGAACAAAAAAGGGGCAGCAGAGGAGGAAAGGGAAGGACTTAACCTGAAATTCGGTTCATTTATACCAGATACGATGAAAAGAAATAAGAAGGAAGAGCCGAAAAACATCTAAAGCCCTAGAAATCGAATAACGGATTAAAGGAGACAGAAATAGCATGGATTTCTATCGAACGAAAAGGAGAGGAGGGAAAGGAAGGGGGGGGGGGGGGAGGAGGGGGGGGGGGGGGGGGAACCGATCAAATAACGGCAACGCAAACCAAAGAGAAATTAAAAGGAAGAAAATGAGTTAAATAAGTTAAATAGCGCAGAGAATAAAATTAAAACTCACTTCAAGACCCCAGAAGAAAAAAAAAAGAAAAAATGGCTGAAATGGGATAAAAGAGTAATATCCTAAAATTAAATGAGAGGAAAAGAAAACGTAACAATAAGAATTTAGGAGAAGGCACCCAAAAAAAGGCCCCTTTTCTGGAATTTCCCTCAGAAATTCCCCCGGGGACGAGGTTTCGCTGTGTCTCCACCCCGAGAGTTTGCCAACACCCCCAAAGAACTCCTTTTTCTCCCCAAAACCAAGCTGGAGAAGCAACCCCAAGTGAAAACACAACTTTTCACCGGGGCGGGGGGGCGCCGGCGCCGGGAGGGGGCGGTTTTTTGGTGGGGGTGGGACGCGGATTTCTGCCGATTCCCGGGTCGATTGCTCTGGTTTCTTTCTTCCTCCCACCCCGCTCCGTTTCCCGTCTCAGTTTCTTACCCGGACGTCTTGCAGTGCGTCAACGTCACCATCTTCTCCATGGCCGAGTGTCGCCGGTTATACCCCGGTTCCATCACCGAGAACATGCTGTGCGCCGGGAGCCTCCAAGGCGGTAGGGACTCCTGCCAGGTACGACCAAACTGTCCCCCTCTTGCCAATTTTTCACCGGGGGGGGGGGGGGGGGGGGGGTCGGTGACCACGGGGCGGGGCAACTCATCCATAGTTGGCCAACTCAACAAGAGTCGGCCAACCCAAGAGGAGTTGAATAACCCCGTGTTCTTCAACCCAACAAGGGTTGGCCAACTCAAGAGGAGTTGAATAACCCGGTTGGCCAACTCAACAAGAGTCAGCCAACCCAAGAGGAGTTGAATAACCCCGTGTTCTTCAACCCAACAAGGGTTGGCCAACTCATCCATAGTTGGCCAACTCAACAAGAGTCGGCCAACCCAAGAGGAGTTGAATAACCCGGTGTTGGTTCTTCAACCCAACAAGGGTTGGCCAACTCATCCATAGTTGGCCAACTCAACAAGAGTCGGCCAACCCAAGAGGAGTTGAATAACCCGGTGTTGGTTCTTCAACCCAACAAGGGTTGGCCAACTCAAGTAGAATTGGCCAACTCGGCAATGGCTGGAAAGCCCAAAGAGATGTGGACAACCCACTGGGGTGGTTGGCCAATCCAGTGATGGTTAAACAAGCCACCAAGCATTCGCTGACCCAATAGGAGTTGGTCACCCAACGCAATGATGGTGGAACAACTCAAGAGTTGGACAACCCAATGGCATGGGTTGGTTAACCCCGTCGTAGATTATCAACCCCAAAACAGTTGACCAAACCAGTTGGAGGTGACCAAGCCAATGGCAGTTGGCCAACCCAACAACGGTTGGCCAACCCAGAGAGCTCACTCAACCCAACGAGGCTCAACAATGATGGGTCAAGCCACAAAGAGTTGGCCAACCCAACGAGGGTTGGGTGACCTTGTGGAGAATGGTGGCTTCACACCACGTCTTTCCATAGGGCGACTCCGGAGGACCTCTGGTTTGCAACGGGACCCTCCAAGGTATCGTGTCCTGGGGCATGGAGAAATGTGGGCAACCCAAGAGACCTGGTGTCTACACCAAGGTCTGTAGATACGCCCAGTGGATCCAGAAGACCATGAAGGACAACCAGTGACAATCCAGCAAGCTCCAAGTGCCCAAGGGGAGGGCGGAGGACCACATCCACGCTCCCACTGCTCACCAGGGCAGGACGCTGGGACAAGAGAGGCTGTGGGTAGAGCCGGGGTCACCTGGTGAAGCTGGTGAGAGGGTGGGTGGGAAGGCACGAGAAATTAAAAGCGTTGTGATGTTTGGTGGGAAACGGTGTCCTTTCGACCTGCCCCCCTCCCCCCAAAAAATCGATTTCGAGCTCAATCCCAGCCATCGCTTCTCCTCCAGGGTCATCCACAGGCCCAGTGGCCACTCGTGGCCACGGACTTTGAGGTCAGATCCTTCCCATCATCCCCCAAAAATGTGACTTTCCGGGAGGAGAAGTTGATTTTATTTGAAGCCAAAGCTCGTTTCCTCCACTCCTACCTGTTGTCTCCCAAGGAACGAGACGCGGGGCCGCGGTGGCCAATCGATGGCGCTGAGGATGTGGACAAGTCCTCCAACCCAAATGGAGTTGGTCAAGTCAACGAGGGTAACCAATCAAAGATGGCCGCCCGACTCAAATCACCACCGGCCATCCAGCAATGGCCTATCCAATAGGAGATGCCCAATGGGAATGAAGAACCCAATGAGCATCAGCCAATGCAACAAGGATCACCCAATCGATGAGGGTCACCCAATCGATGATGGTTGGCCAACCCAACGAGGGTCAACCACGCCGGTGATGATTGGCTAACCCAAGGGAGTTGGTCAACGGTGGTTGGCCAACCCAATAAGGGTCAACCAAGCCGGTGATGATTGGCTAACCCAAGGGAGTTGGTCAACAGTGGTTGGTCAACCCGGTGAGGGTCACCCAACCAATGATGGTTGGTCAACCCAACAAAGGGTTGGCCAATCCGACAAGGATTACCCAACCCAATGATGGTTGGTCAACCCAATGTCTACTGGGTTCTTCTTAGGCTGGTGGCCACGTTTGGGTTGGCTGTGCCTTTTTGTCCCCCGAAGGCGGTGCCGGGGGTCACTTTCTCCACCCTGTCCCACTTCTGGGTGGGATTTACTCCTTGTCCTTTGTCCCCAAATCCGGCTCTCCTGAGATGGCGCCCACAGAGGCCCTGGGGCCTTCGTGGCCCTCAAGAGGAAGAGTCAGCAGGGAAAAAGGTCTCCTTCCTTCTGGAGGAGGCATCTGGAGATGCTTTGGCTCTCCCAGGAGGACTCAAGACTTCTGGTGGCACGGCCGTCGGTGGCACGGCCGTCGGTGGCACGGCCTTCGGTGGCACGGCCGTCGGTGGCACGGCCGTCGGTGGCACGGCCACGCCGAGGACTTGCCTTCGGAGGTTGATATGGGAGGACCCGGCGTTGCCCGGTTGGAAGGTGCCACCTGGGGAGGGGTCGTGGCCACCAACGCTTGAGCTTCGAAGAGACGACGGGGCCACGTCAGCCAGGCGGCCCAGCCCCAGTCGGGGAAACGCCATTGGCTGGGCTCTTGCCAAGACCCGCCTACCTCAGATGAGGGAAACGTCATTGGTTGGGCGCTCCTCAAGACCCACCCACCTCAAATTGGGGAAATGTCACTGGTTGGGCTCAACGCGAGACCCTCCCACTCCAAATCGGGGAAATGCCATTGGTTGGGCTCTTGCCAAGACCCGCCCACCCCAAAGTGGGGCCATACCATTGGCTGAGCTCTCCCCAAGGCCCGCCCACCCCAAAGTGGGGCCACACCATTGGCTGAGCTCTCCCCAAGACCCACCTACTTCAGATCATGGAAATGCCATTGGTTGGGCTCTCCCCAAGACCCGCCCACGCCAAAGTGGGGCCATACCATTGGCTGAGCTCTCCCCAAGGCCCGCCCACCCCAAAGTGGCGCCACACCATTGGTCGACCTCTCCCCAAGTCCCACCCCCAAACTGGAGCCACACCATTGGTTGGGCATCCTGTGCGAGGGCGTGTCACCTCCCCCCGTGGGGGCGTGGCTGCCCCCACCGCCAGCCAATCACCGGCAGCGGGCCCGCTCCGGGTAACGAGGCGGTTTCGTCCCTTAGATTACGGCCCTAAAATGGCGCTGGCTGTAATTAGCGTTAATGACGGCCATCCCATAATACGCGCTCAGCGTCGGCGCCACGCCCAAGGCGCGGTTGTTGTCCCACTGCGTCGGGGCGGGATTGGCTTAATCCGACGGTAATCGGGCAGGGGCGGGCAGGGGCGGGCAGGGGGCAGCCGGGTTGGGAATGGAGGCAGAGGGCACCCATAGATTCCATAGGGGACCCACGTCACCCCATAGATTCCATAGGGGCCCATTCACCCCATAGATACCATAGGGGACCCACGTCACCCCATAGATGCTGTAGGGACCCACGTCACCCCATAGATACTGTAGGGACCCACGTCACCCCATAGATTCCATAGGGGCCCATTCACCCCATAGATACCATAGGGGACCCACGTCACCCCATAGATTCCATAGGGGACCCACATTACCCCATAGATACTGTAGGGACCCACGTCACCCCACAGATTCCATAGGGACCCACGTCACCCCATAGATTCCATAGGGGCCCATTCACCCCATAGATACCATAGGGGACCCACGTCACCCCATAGATTCCATAGGGGCCCATTCACCCCATAGATACCATAGGGGACCCACGTCACCCCATAGATGCTGTAGGGACCCACGTCACCCCATAGATTCCATAGGGGCCCATTCACCCCATAGATACCATAGGGGACCCACGGCACCCCATAGATGCGGTAGGGACC